TTTTTGCCTCTAAAATTTATTTATGTTGCTATTGTCGTTTTCATAATTTCTTTATTCGAAATATTCATAAAACTCTCAAATTACCGTTTTTTACAGAAAAACACGTGACGCGAATTCAAATTTTTAACTTTTTTTAAAAAAAATCGTCAATTAAATACGACCAAGTAATATTCGCTTTAAATTTTTTAAAGCTTTACTTTATCATTTTCTAGTACTTATACGAAAAAAACACCCTCAAAACCCCCAAATCACAATTTTTTTCCAGAGAAACATTTTGCGGCGAATTCAAATTTTCAAAGGAAACTATGTTGATTGTATCCAAAAATTTTTAAAAGGCGAAAATACTCCTCAACTGTAATCTTCGATCTCCCTTCATGGTCTCTTCTGGTGCCGCGGGTATCAGGAGCCTCTAGATATGTTGATGTAGTCTGACTATGAAGAGGCCTCTGTTGTGGGTGCAAAGCGGTGGTTGTGTTTTATACTCAAATCATGGATAGTGCTTTGTCTCGATGCTGAGTTGCAGTCTCAAGCCGGTGCTGTGACCCATAGAGCAGCACAGGTGTAAGATAGTCCTCAATCCCTTACCATGAGGAAAGTGAAGCCCATATAACTGATCTTCGAATTGGTATCTGCGAAATAAAGCTAGAACTCTGTGGAAGGCTACAACTCTCTAAGTGAACTCTGGGTAATTCTAAAGGGGCACTGGCCGACGCATCGTAAGGCTATCCCTGTGCAATGGTGCATCACGATTAAAGCTGTCAAGGCGAAAATCATGCAAAACCCACTCGTCATCACCCTTCTGAGTCCCCTAAAATAATTTTTAATATTTTACTCCAAAATGTAAATTTTTTCCCACACCAAATCAGTATTTCATTCCCGTAGATTAGAAGCTGTTCATTATTTTCTATAACTTGAAGATAAATCCGAGAAGAACTCAAAATGAATATAGTTTTCTCCATAAAAAAATAAATTTTATTTACGGCGAATTCAGTTGTTCCAAGGAAAAATGTTTATCATAACGAAATTCGAATGAGGCTCACATAATTCACTCTTCTTTTTGTGTTTTTGTAAAAAAATTCAATATTTTACCACTAAAATATGATCGAATATATTATATCCCTACCCATATGTTGAAAATAAGCAATTTTCTTTTTTAAATCTATCGATAAGTGAAGAAAAGTTGCTTAAGAGCTCAAAAAACCCTAAAAACGAAAAACACATTTTGAGGCGAATTCAAAAATTTCACACGAAAAGCAGGCCTGGTTGGCATATAAGGCCCTATAAAGAAAAATGTTTATTATATCGTGTCTCTGTATAAAAATTCAATATTTTACCACTAAAATATGATTTTGTTACTTTTATTTCCACGGCAATCGTCTTTTATAACTCAAAGTTGCCTAAGAATTAAAAAATCAAGAAACTAATTCAAAATATCAAAAGAAAAATATCCCTGGGTAGCGTATAAGGCCCCATAAGGAAACATGTTTATTATTAAATCGAAATTCATATATGGCTCATATAATTCACTCTTCCTTTCGTGTTTCTGTGTAAAAATCTATATTATATCCCTAAAATGTGATTTTTTACATTTGTTTCCACGGCGAATTTATGATATTCCTACCCAAAGATTAAAAATAAATCATCTCATTCTTTAACTCCACCTATAAGTGAAGAAACGTTTATAAGAACACACAAAAATCAAGAAACACGTTTTGAGGCGAATTCAAAATTTCAAGAGAAAAATATCCCTGGATAGCGTATAAGGTCCCTTAAGGAAAAAATGTTTATTATATCGAAATTCATATGAGGCTCATATAATTCACACTTATTTTTGTGTTTCTGTGTAAAAATGCAATATTTTACCACTAAAAAATTATTTTTTTACTTTTATTTTCACGGAGAATTTATTATATTCCTACCAATGAATGGAAAATAAGTAATTTTCTTTTATAAATCCATCCATAAGTGAAGAAACGTTTTAAGAACTCAAAAATCGAGAAACACATTTTGAGGCGAATTCAAAATTTAAAAGGGAAAATTGCCCTGGGTAGCGTTTAAGGCCCTCATTGTAATACTATCCCCCTTTCAAGTTTCTGTATGAAGAAATTATTTTTCTAAGAATAAAATGACGAAGCGAATTGATTTTCCTAACGATAAATTAAAATTATTTAATTTTCTTTAAAAACTCCATCGATAACTGAAGAAAATCAATTAAGATTTCGAAAAATCGAGAGAAACGTTTTGAGGCGAATTCAAATTTTCAAGAAAAAAAAATTACACATAGAAAGAAAATAATTAATTTCTTTTTAATTCCAACGGTAAGTGAAGAAATTTCCATTAAGAAAGCAAAAATACAACACATTTATGTTCAGAAAAGATAACCCCATTTTGAGGCGAATTTAAATTTCCAAAGGAAAAAACATTGCTTATATCAATAACACATCTCTAAGGAAAAGTATAAGGCTATCTTAAGTCTCCTTATATAAATGAAATATTCCATCAAAAAATGAGGATTTGAAATCAATATTAGCCCGGCATATCAATAGTGGTCTCCTATTCGAATCAATTTCTTTTCTAACTGCCATGAATAGTTGAAAGAGCTCTAAAATTAAGTTTTTTATTCGTTTTGATTTTTCTGATGATAATTAATTTTCTTTTAAAACTCCATCGGTAAGTGAAGAAATGTCCATTAAGAGCGCAAAAACAACACAATTATGTTCATAACAAAGAACACCTCTTTGAGGCGAATTCAAATTTCCTCAGGAAAAATGGTTTACATCAAACAAACAACGCCATAGGAAGAGTGTAAAACTATCTTGAGTCTCCCTAAATAAATATAATATTTTATACAAAAATGTGGAAATGAAATCAATATTTTCCCGGCAAATCAATATTCCTCTCCTATTCGATTCAATTTTTTTTCTATATATAACAGTGAACCCTGCATAGAGGCTAATTCAATTTTCCTCAGAAAAAAATATGACCATAGAAATAGCGTAAGGCTATATTTATTTTCCCTGTACAAATGTAATATTTTATCCAAAAATGTGGATTTGAAATCAATATTTTCATGGCAAATCAATATTGCTCTCCTATTCGAATCAATTTTTTTCCATGGATAGTTGAAAGAACTCAAAAATTATGTTTTTTTTCTTTTAGCACAGAAATCCATGTTGCGGCGAATTTAAATTTCCTGCAAATAAATGCTGAGATATCACATTATAATCTATCTAAGGTTCTTATTATAATTCTCCCTCCTTTTTAGGTCCCGGGATAAAAGATGTAAAATTTACCCAAAAATGTGGATTTGGGCCATTATTTACTTTGGAGGTCAATATTTTGCGGATATGATTAGAAATCATTCATTAATTTTCTTTAATAATATCCATTTGTAATTGAAGAAAAATCTCTTCGAGCCTCAAAAATAAATTATTTCTGTTCATAACAGAGAATTATATTGTGCGGCGAATTCAAATTTCTAAACAAAAAATGTCAGATTCTCTATAAAATTATAATATTTTTATCAATAAATTGTAGTATTGTGAAAATTAATTATCTTCCCTAAAAATCAATATACCCTTACCAGAGATAAGAAAAATAATACCCTATTTTTCCATGAACATTTCAAAAAAAAAATATCTAAAACATGTTTTTTTTTTTGTTCATAACAAAGAAACCCTTGTTGCGGCAAATTCAATTTTCCAAAAAAAAAATCTTAAATATCAACATAATATGGGTCTAACATTCTCAATATAATTCTCCCTCCGTTTATAGACCACTGCTCAGCAAATATACTATATTAAAATTGAAGATTGGGATCATAATTTCCACTAAAAATCTATATGTTTGGCATGTAGATGAGAAAAGAATCATTTTCTTTAGTAATATCTACATGCAATTAAAGAAAAATCAATTTAAGATCAAAATCAATCTAAATCAATTTAAATTATTAATTTATTATTATTAAGGTAAAACGTTGGATTCTTTAAAAAATTGTAATATTTTATAAAAAAAACCCTATCAATATAATGTGGGTTCATAAAAAAATATCTCCCCTGAAGACCAATATTCACTTCACAGAGATTAAAAAATAATACCAAATATTTTATATATTCCATGAATATTACACAAAATTCAATTGAAAACTCCAAAATAAAGTTTTTCTGTTAGTAACACAGAAACCCATTTAAAGGCGAATTCATATTTTCAAACGAAAGTTGATTACATCAACAAATTAACACCGTGGAATGAATAAAAGAGTCTAAACATTACTCTCTTCCTTAACAGTTGGCTCTCCCTTTACATTTTCACCAAAAAAACGTAACATTTGTGCAGCCACAAAAATCAATACTAGATATTAAAATTCTCTCTTTATAACACTGTTAAAATGCTCTGATTTCCTATCGCTCTTTAACAGAACTCCAGTTCTTAACGGTAAAGAGAGTTGGTTTGGAAACCCAACTCTCTTTGCTTTTAAGAGTGAAACTGTGACACAGAGCACCCTATGAGAAAGTTAGATTCAATAAAATAAACCGTTTAATGGTAAAACTCTTTCATGTGCCTCTCTTTCTCTTTGATTTTCATTGAACTCTTCTTTTTTAACAACAGAGTTGTTTAAACTCCTTTTATGACAATGGTGCTCACTACTGATAAAGTGTGCTTTCTTGCCACAAAAAACATGGGGCGATGAGCAATCCAATTTTACAACAAATAGTGGGTCAAAGAGAGTTGGCTATTTGAAACTCTTTCCCTCCCCATAGGGCAAAAGAGAAACACTTCTACTCTTTCATTTAATAATACTCATTATAACTCCATATAAGGAAAGTTTGGTGGATAATAATTTCGATTTTTTCCTTGCTTTCTTTTTTTTCTTTAAACGGTGATTGTGTTGGTGTTGTTTGATTGTATGTATTTGTGTAAAAAAATTATATTATATATGACACAATGGAAACTCCTTAATTTTCTTTTTAGAATCGTCTTTTTTCAACTCAAATACTTACTGTTAATCGATATCAATCGATTATTTGTTGTTGTTGTTGCTGTTCCTTATTATCCTTGCTCTATTTATTTTCTATACAAAATAAATGTGTGTTTCCGATATTTTTTTCTCTGGATGTTCTTTGACTGGTTTCCAAAAGCAGAGGTTGACCTTTTTGCGATGAGTTATCCTGGGAGTTTTGCTGGTGTTGTTGTTGTTGTTGGTGATTTCTTGGTGCGTTTTAAAGTTGCTGCTGCTGTTGTTTTTTTTCGAATGAGGTTAGCAAAAAACTTTTTTTGTGGGGGGTAGGATGTTGTTGTTGTTGTTTGGTGTTATAATTTTAACTTTTTGATGATGAAATAATTTTTTAAGTTTTTATTTTGGGTTTTTTCTTTCTTGTTGTTATTAAATAAATATGTAATAGCTTTTATTTGGTGTTGTTTTTTTTTTCTATTTGTGTTTTGTTTTTGGGAAATTCTGTTTATTATTTTTTTTTTTTTTTTGTTTATTTTTTCTTAGTTTATAAGCACTTCTTTTAATGCTAAAAAAATAAGAGGCACACAAAATTATTTTTTTTTCGACCATTTTTTTTAATTTTTTGTGAAATATTTTATTATTGCCGGGAAATATAGCCCTTTTTATATGTTTTTAACACACACATACACACAACTTCCACAGTAAAAAAAATACAAAAAAATGGTTAAATGGTGGTTTTTCTTAAATTATTTTTTATTATTTTTTTCTCTTTCTCGCATTGAAAAAAATGGTGATAGTTCTTTCACAAACTCGTTTTTCGAATTTTTAAATCCGGAACACTGGGATAAGAATATTTGAGTATTGGAAACTTCTGTTCAATTTTTTATTAAAATATATTTTTGACATGCGTTATGATTATTGAAAATGTTCATTCGTTTAAAGGGAGGTACCAAAAGAGTGGGCCAATATCTAATACTGATAAAAATATGGGGATATACGAAATTTAAAGTAAATCGAATATTTTTTTTTCTATTTTATGCGAATAATTTTTAATCAAAATTTTAAATTTGTGTGGGGGAGGTACCAGAAGGAGTGGACCGATATATCCCATCTTTACAGCAGATCTTTTGGTAGCAGAAATAGAAGGATGTGTGAAATTTGAGGAGTATCAGATGGTTATTTTGCTTTTTATGGGAGTTAAAATTATTCAAATTTTTAATCCATTGTAAGGGGAGGTACCAGAAGGTAAAATATTAGAATGTTAATTTCGCGTTTTATGAAAGGTAAAATTATTCAAAAATTTGACCCATTGTAAGGGGAGGTACCAGAAGGAGTTGACCGATGTATCCCATTTTTGCTGCAGATCTTTTGGTAACAGAAATATTAGGATGTGTGAAATTTGAGGAGTATCAGATGGTTATTTTGCATTTTATGGGAGTTATAATTATTCAACATTTTGACCCATTGTAAGGGGAGGTACCAGAAGGGGTAAGCCTATGTATCCTATCTTTACAGCAGATTTAATGTTGATAAAAATATTGAGATCTGTGAAAATTGAAGAGAATCGGATGTTTATTTCACATTTTATGCGAGTTATAATTATTCAAAATATTGAACCCTTTGTGGGAGAGGTACCAGAAGGAGTTGACCGATACATCCCATCTTCGCACCAGATCTTGTGTTAATACAAATTTTGGGATACGCCGAGTTTGAAAATAATCGGATGCTCACATTGCGTTTTATGAGAGTTATAATTATTCATAATTTGGAACCATTTGTGGGGGAGGTACCATAAGGAGTAGGCCGATATCTACCATCTTAACGTCAGGTCTAGTGCTGCTGGAAATATTGGGATATGCCGAGTTTGAAAGGAATCGCATGCTTATTTCCCGTCTTATGAGCTTCATTGTTATTCAGAATTTCGACCCCTTTGTGGGGGAGGTACCAGAAGAAGTAGCCTGTTTTATCCCTTCTTCACAACAGTTGTTGTGTTGCTGGAAATATTGGAATATGCCGAGTTTGAAAGGAATCGCATGCTTATTTTCCATCTTATGCGCTTCATTGTTATTCAAAAAATTGTTATTCGACCCCTATGTGGGGGAGGTACCAGAAGGAGTGGGCCATTATATTCGTTCTTTATACCATACATTATTTTAATAAAAATATTGATATGTGCGAAATTTGAAGACAGTTGAATGCTTAGTTTGCATTTTATGAGACCTATAATTATTCAAAATTTTGATACTTTGTGCGGGAGGTACTTGATGAGATGAACCAATAGTGTCCATTTTCACACCCAACTTAGCACTAATAAAAATATTAGGATTTGCAAAGTTTGCACAAAATCGGATAATACGTTCTTATTATATGATGTAAATTATTTGCAATGAAAATTTTGACCTTTTGTGGGGGAGGTATCAGAAGGAGTCTACTAAAATTGCCCATATTCGACTTCGATCATAGTTTGGCAATAATATTACGGTGTGCAAAGTTTGTATTAAATCGGACACTCCCCTTGACGAATATAGTGTAAACCAACCAGGCAGACGGACAAGCGACACCCCTAGATCGACTTCTAATGCCCTGAAATGGATTTGGTCCAAAGACACCTAGGGGCTAAAATAGTTATTTCGATAAGGCCCATTTTGTTCTTATCAAATGACATATACTCTCCGTAGTCATACGGCTGAGGGTATAAAAATAAGTTACGGTGTAAAAATATTTGCTTATATTATTAGTTAAAAGTTGCATTTTTATTATTGAAATTTTTATTTATTTATATTTTTTATTTATAATTTATTATCTATTTATAATTAATTTAATTTTTAAGATTTAATTTTTTTTAATTTGTTATTATTTTTAAATTTATTTATTTTGTGTTTTTTCAAAACTGACTTGTCAAATTATAATACAAAATTATCTAAAATTTGCAATTTGCAATTTTTGTTTTTTATCTTGTTTTTTTTTTTAATTTTAATATAATATTTTAATAGTTAAATTTAATATTTTTAATTTTTTATTTCTTAGATTTTGTTTAAAATAGAAATTTACATCATTTTTTGACCAATTATAACGTCTTTGATTTGTTTATTAATTTTCATTTTTAAGTATTTATATATTTTACTTTTACTACTTTTTTTTTTTTGTATATTTATTAGTTATTTATTCATTTATATTAATAAGAAATATGTTAGAATATTTTATTATATATTATTCTCAAAAGGACAACAAAATTCGAAGTTAAAAGGAAGGCAGTTTTTCTATTTTTTTGCAATTTTTTAATTTATTTAAATATTTTGTTTATGATAAATATTTTTAATATTTAATCTATCAAACTGGTTTTTATATCTCGTATAAATTTATTTATTTATTTATTTTATTTTTATTTTTTTTTTTTTTTTTTTTTTTGTTACATAACCTCACAATTTTTCTAAATGTTTTCATACACTTTTTTATATGAACATTTTATTTTAAATTGTTTCTTTCACATTTATAATATTTTTTCACTTAAATTTTTTTAAGTTTTTTGAGTTTTCCTTTTACGGTTTTTTTTTTCTGCTCCACGAATATGAATCACTTTTGCCCCGCATTTGGCCGAAAAAGGTCCTTTGAAACAACTTTTTATTGGCAGCACGAAAAATGAGGTTAAACGTTTTTTTGTTGCTGTTTTGTCCAACACGAATACACGAACACAGATATATATTTTCTTAAATGGATTTATATTATGGAAAATTTGTTTTTTTTAATTTTCCTTAAGGTTTTATTAAATTTTTTATTTATTATTTATTTTTGCACATTTTATTTCATCTTTTTAAAACACTTTTCATTTGCTTTCATTTCAATTTTCATACTTTTTCCTCTTTTATAGAGTTTCCTTTATATTACTTTTTTTTTAAAAAACACAAAGGAGCCACGAACCGTTCATGTCAAACACTAAAACATAACCAAAAGGCAAACGTCATGGTAAACATCAGCGAACTACTCAAATTCACTCGATTTGTGGCGAAAGCTCACACATCTCAATCTCTTCTCTGCTAAGCTATGACATCAAAATTTCATTCATTCGCATTGGAATAACAAAAACAAAAGGCATTAGCAGTCAATTCGCCGCAAATAACTCAAATAACTCTGCCTTACACCACATTATCTCTGTTTCTCTCTCTCTCAGTGATTCTCTTTTTATAACAGTTTCTCAACACACGTATACGGTGGATGATAACATTTGCTCTGCAAATGAATAACATCAGAGTGTTATGTTACTCTACGTATTTCTGTGTGTGTGTGAATGTGTTTTGTTCTTGGTACCCTTTGCTCGTCGTGTGCGTGTATTTTTGGTTTTTGGTAGATTGACTCCCTTAAGTGGGAATTTCGTGTTAATTATTTTATTCCCCATCCGTTTTCCATTTCCAGGTGGGTTTCAAAACAACTGCCACCAAGGCATAACAACAACAAATATAATTAGTAATTAGTAAAAATGTTGTGGAATTAAAATAAAAATAAATAAAATAAGAAATTTTAGGATATAAAGAGAAAAATATTTTAAAAACGTGGATTTCAAAAAATATGGATTTCTTAAGAAATGCTTTCCATTGATTACTTCCTTTTTTGTTTTTTTTTTAAGAAAAATCGTTTTTTTTTTCAAAGAAAATAATTCAAAATCATGAATTTTGGGATTTTGGATTTTTAAGAAATAATTATTCAAGGACTATATAACCCGAGTTGTTATATTTTTTTTTTTCTTATGTATTATATATAAACCAGGACATTTATACCACATACCACTTGGCTACAGAGGGTATCTTTCATTTGATACGGCCAAAAAGTTGCCTCCTTGGACCAAATTCCTTTCAGGAATCGTTTTTTTTTCAAAGAAAAACATTCAAAATCATGAATTTTGGGATGTTGGATTTTTAAGAAATAATTACTCAAGGACTGTATAACCCGAGTTACTATAAAAATATTCTCTTATGAATTATATATAAACCAGGACATTTACACCACATGGCTATAGAGGGTACATATCATTTGATACGGCCAAAACGTGCCTCATGGAAATCTTGACTATAGAGGTCTCCTTGGGCCAAATTCCTTTCAGGACATTTAAAGTCGATCTAGGCGTATCCTTTCGCCCATCTGTCTGGCAGGTGCATAATTCTCGAAGAGAGTATCCGAATTGGCCCAAACTTGGTACCTCACAATATTATTATGAAACTTAGATTGTCTTCGGAAATGGGCAATATTGGACCACTCCATCTGGTAACTCCCCCACAAAACGTCAAAATTTCCAAAGAAAATAATTGACCATATAGAACAAGAAAGGATCATCCGATTTTGTGCAAACTTCTGAAGTCCTAATATTTTTTATCAGTGCTAAGACAGGCGTGAAAATGGACAGTATAATTCCACTTCGTCAAGTACCTCACCCACAGAGTGTAGACATTTTCGAAAATTATATCTGTTACAAATTTGTGAAATAAGAGTCCGACTGTCCTAAAATTTCACAAATTTCAATATTTTTACTTACACAAGATCTGGCGTGAAGA